CTGCATACAAGGTAGGTAAAAATAGCTTAAAGCCTGTGTGGAGGTGAAATATGTGGGTTTAGAAACTATTGTTCTTCAGCACTTGCTAAGAACCCCTGTGTCTGAGTGTATTCTTTTTTTTATGGTGACTTCTTTGATAGGAGCTGGGGGTAAGGCGCTCCTTAATATTTTCACCAGTGTGTTTCTACCCCAAGAGATTTCTGCTGGCTATAGTGGGTAGCTGGCCTAAAGGAGCACTTGACTCCCAGCAGCCCCAGTGACACTCGATCACCAACAGAACAGGCCTGTGGTTGTACAGGGCAGCTCCCTTGTGAAAATATGTGGTGACTGGGAGGCAGCACAGTATAGAAAAACGTCCCAGTTCAGTAATCCCAACCTGTGTTCAGTGCTATTTCAACAATGAAATAACTATTAGGAGAAATACTTCTACAGTTTTAGATCTAGTAAAACAGGGAGAAATGATGTTCCACCTTCATCGAATATGAAAAAGAAATTAATCTGGTTGCTGTAAGAAAGAAAATAGTAATCAGACAATGAGCTGGATGCCAGACAAAACATCGATTTCAAAGCATCTCTCTAAGCAGCCTCAGAGGCGCAAAGCATATCCACCTTTTGATATTGACCCTGCCTCTAACAAATATGCCTATATTTATATCGTTGTTTTTACCGAGACAATGTACAGCTTTTCTTTGGATGGATATTGGATCATACACACATGCTTACCTCCAAACTCAATACTCATTCTCCTGCAACTAGTGCTTTATCTTCGAAGTAAATATTTATGTGCTGTTTGGCACCAAGTAAATAAAAAAAGGGAGAAAAAAAATCACTCAAAACTAAATCGCCTTGCATCAAAAATCAATGATAAAATGGGGGCACTGGCGCTGTTTTCTAGGTCAAATTTGAATATATATTTTTTGAGATATTGATTGGTGTAATGTGACTCATTCTTTGTAATTAAAGGAAACAAATATTGGGAACGAGGAGTAGGGGCTATCTGTATCATGATGCAATTTCAGTCTTTGTAGCTGTGTGTATTTATTAGGACCTCTACTGCAAATAAATAAGAAGTTGTGTTAAAGAGGAGGAGGTGGACCTAAACCTTAAGTGAGATTTATACTATTTAATACTGTGTGTTTGTTTGGTAGCCATTGGATTAGAACTGGTATTTATTTGTTTAGAGTGAGGCAAAAAAAAAAATTCTAATGATAAATTTAACTCAGAGCCTGCCGAGCTGTTCCGTCCAAACTATAAACCATTAGCTCAGATATACTCTTTAGTTTTTTTCAGGGGATTTACAATTAAAGCAGAAAAATGTATCTCAACAGCTTCGTTTATTTGGTTTCTAATACCAGACTTTGTTATCAAATTTATCTGGGTACACGGACTGGATAGTACACTGTAAAATCCAATTAGTTGTTGTTACTATGAAAAAAACGTGCAAACCAGTTGCATAAAAGAATAGGTTCAGAGAACTAGGTAGTTTAAGTTGTGCAACCCAGTGCTTTCTTTGTAGAATAAACTTATTGATTAAAGCAGTTAAAATAATCCGGTACCCTGTAAAGTTTAAATAGTTTTCAACACCTGAAAAAAAGGAATTGCAATTAAAATAAAAACAGAGACCCAGGCATTTCCAGTTGTGCAAACTAGAGCTTTATTTATTGAATATATTTATACATAAGTTTAAGCAAACAAGATAATGAAATAGTATTTACTTACAGTAATTACTTACTTTAGATGTAAATAATAAATAAAGGTAACAACACAGTTTGATTAAGTTATATTTCTTTGATTCATTACCTTTAAATATCATATTTAATGAAATCAAGTAACAGCACGTACTTACATTAATGATACAGTAAACAGGTTAAAACTATTTTGCTCTCATCAATATTTCTTAATTTAAACAATAAAGAAGTATGTATCGAAAAAAAAAAAATTATGCAGAAATCTGTTTTCCAGGACTTCAGAAAAGTACAAATATTACAGTCCAAACAAGAGACAGGTTATGGAAATCATTCAGCACTATACATCGCTCAACAAGGAGGCCAGGAGACACAATATGGACAACAGACAGAGAGTTGTGCTAATAACTCATCAGTGTTACAACAAACGGCGGAAATCGCATAAAAACATGGACATGTTTTAAACTAACAATTCAAAATTGTCCCTTGTCCCTTTTATCTTCCCATGAGTCACTTTATTTTGATCACACAGAGAAAGTGCTAAATAAAGATCAAATGTTCCCAGGTGGTCTTCTCGGCATTCTCGCAGCAGATTATCAGTCGCTGGAGTAGACCAGGTCGTCCAGATAGTATGTTGAGAATATCCCCATCTCATTTTGTTTCTAGAAGTGGAAAATTAAGAAATTAACTACATTCAAATGTTGAATCTATATCTAAATGTTATGTCTGAATGTACATGTAAAATTCATTACTTAATCCTAGATCTATTTATAAAATGTTATTTTTCTATGTGAATCTTTATTTCATATCTGTGAAATAAAGGGGAGTGGGTGATAAACATATCTTCTCAAGATTTAGATCTGAGATTTAAGATTTTGGATATTTAGATGTAAGATTTAGAAAGTAGACATGAATTGAGCTCTAGATATAAGATATAAACTAATATAAAAATATATGATATATAAGATATTTGAGGTATGAATATAGGTTTTGAAATATATTTAACTTTCACCGTTTTTTGCTAAAGCTAGTTTAAAAAAAGCACTAAATGTAAATAATGTATTCTAATGTGATATTAAGAATTATTTATAGTTACTTTTCGTATTTCAAAAGATTGAAAACTTTAAAAAAGAAAAAAAACTGTAAGGAAAGTATGATGTGACATGTCTGATTTATTTTCATCTTAAAGTGCCTTTATTTGGATTTTTTGCTAACCCACGTGTTTTGTTAAAATATTCTAATGTGTATTTTTTTTATCCTGTTATCAATTGAAATATAGTATGTCTCGTACACATTTGACATTCTTTTTTTAATTTTACTCATTTGTTGAATAAATTAGGGAAATTTAAAACAAAGGCAGTTCCTGCGCCTGTGTTAAAAAAACATGTTTTCATGCTTAACTACCAAAATAGTTTATATTTTACTGTAAATGTTATTACAAAAGGTTTTGTTGTTGCAGATAAAAAAATATTTTTTAGCATTAGCAATGCAAAAGCAAGAATGGTCCCTATCCATGTCTGCGTTACCATGTAGGGTGCAAGTCCCAATCGTTACAATTACCGTAAGCATATTTTGTAAACTGTGCATCCAAAACCCTTCATTGCACCTACTGTACTCCAGGCGCACACTTCATTGCAGTGAATAGGATTTAGCGCTAGTATTGAGACAAGGCCGCTAAGCTGCGCATAAACAGTTGCCTACTTCCTCTTCCTCTAATGGTCAGAGGGAGTGACTTGTTCATTGGATTTATTGACCGTTGACAAACAACTTTTATTTGTGCATTACTGCCACTTCTGAACTGCAGTGTGTTTGGAGTGACTTATTGTTGCTTTAATTTTAGTGTGTGAATAAGATCCTCTCATCAATTTCTTGTGCAGCTGAGGTGCCAATAAAACTACATTTTTGCTTTTCATCTAGTAATACTGAACACTGAAGTTTTTTGACATTTTATCACATTACAAGCATTATTGATGGTGTAATACTTTTCTGAATATATCAAAATCAAGTAGCAAAAAATTGTGAGCTGTAATAAGATAAAAAAAAAAGAGTAGAACAGAAATACTTTCATTGCCTCCCAGTGGGAAAATTCTGGTGTGACAGGGGCAAAAACTAGTAGAGAGAAGAAAGCTTACAGGTACACACAAGACTAAATAGTTTAAAGAAAGTAATTTTAAAAGTTAAGCTTTTGAAGTTAAGCAGTTGAACAGAAAAATAACAGGAATAAAAAATAGTGAGTGGTAATAAGAAAGGCATATTCTGGTAAAAATGAGATTTGTTCAAGTTAAAAAGAAAAGAAAAAGAAATTTGGGAAGAGATAAAGCATGGGTTTAGTAAAACCTTGCATGAAATATGACTGTTGAAACAAAACCTCCCACCTAAGCATTCATGTACAAAAAAATCATACTGAATAGATTAGGAACTGCAATATGGAAAGCATCAATTAAATTTTTTTCCTGACCAGTTTGAAAACCTATACACACTTGTGAGCCCTTATTTGGCTTCTGGGATGCAGTGATGTTATTAGTTGACTACAAACCAGTTCAAGTGCTAGGTAGAAGAAATTACTGCGTAGATATGCCAATAATTCCCTCAGCTGAATCAAGACAAAACTGAAGTGACAAATTTTGGTCCAAAAACAGAGTTTTCCAGACTGAGCATACAGCCTCAATTAATGGAGCTAGAAACCAGCAATCAGGTTCAAATTTAGGTGTAGTGATGGACTCAGACCTGAACATCTAGAGCAGGGGTGGGCAGTTCCTGGGGGCCAGTATCCTGCAACTTTTAGATGTGCCTTTGTTTCAACACACCTGAATCAAGTAATCAGATAATTGGGAGGACTCTGCAGGAACCGACTGCATACTGAGGAGGTAACTCAGCCATTTGATTCAGGTGTTTTGGACCAAGGATGGATCTAAATACCGGCCCCCAGGAACTGGAATTGCCCACCCCTGATCTAAAAAAAAACTTGCAGCTTATCCTGAATGATGCTACCCGGCCATCCTCAGTTTTTTTCTGCATCTATCCTGTAACTTTCTCATTGAAGGAGCTCTGCATTGCTTCCATAAATAGATTGTTAGACATACTTTTTTTTTTAACTGCCCTTTGTCTTTTACCCCTTGCCCTGGGTCCAAGTGACATAAAGGGGTGAGTTGCCCTTTTTAGTTATGTTATCCAGCGGCTTCCCCCCAGCTACAGATAGGCTGCTGCCTAAACTGCCACACCATAAAAGATGGCTAATGCGACCACAAAATCAGAAAAGTTGTGTATAAGCATCCCCTGCAATCCAAAATTTCCCAGTCAGGTAAGGTATGATCTGACCCTTTCCACAAAGAGGGTTATTACTCCAGTCCAGTTTATAGTTAAGGTGTACACCAAGATACTTAAAACTCACCTATCTCAACAATAGCTCCCTGGATGTCCACCAGTATCAGTGCGGTGGCTCTGCGCCAGTTTATTAAATAAATACTTTTAAGTCACACGGTCCATCAGTTTCCCCGTCTGCTTCTTTACGTGCAATCTGTGAACTACATTACTGCCCAGTTAAGTTCTCGATATTATTCCACAGTGTTGATACTGTGAAATGAAGTTCATCTTGTGTTTATGCGACCTCACTTACCGTGGGTGTCGGGTCTTTCTGTCCTTTAGCCCTTGTGTCATCTTCCTCCCCTGTCTCAGAGCCATCCCAGCCTGTTTGAAGTGGCTATTAGCCAGAAATCAAAGCCTCCCATCAAGCCCATCTCAGCCCTGTGCCCTTTTAGAATATTCACCAACGGTCTCCTGGCCTTTTGTGAGCCCCCTGGAATAAAAATAATCAAAATCAGAATGGACCTTCATGTGCAATAATACTCTGTCTACTCTTATGGCCTCCACTGTCAACGCCATTTATTATTCATGCACCCATACTGATGGGTCCAGGGCACGTTCAAGAGGTCTGCTTCTCACTGTTCCAGCACTGTTCATCAATAGCTGCCAGCCAGGTAGGGGACTTTATTATTGAACAGTGGCCATGCTAGTTTGATGCAGACACTGTTCTATGATTATTAGAACTTCAAAAACTTTTCACTCTCTCCATCCATTCCTCCATTTGAAAAGGCCTCCCTCTTCCTCTTTTCTCTGTTGTTAATTTAAACACTGTCTGTTTCATCCTTCCCAATAGGTGTCTGTTTTACAATAAAAGGTCATCCTCATTTGTCCGCTGACACAAAAGAGACCACCGTTGGAGCTGAGGTCAAACAATCAGACAGAAAAATAGACAGAGAGGTGGACAGCGTGGTAGCTGGTGCTTCATGCAGGTGCTCCAAATTCAGGGAAGAGGAGAAGGGAAAGGAAGAGAAGAAGTTAAGATAGATGTTGTGACTGCATAAGAGAGATACAAGAAGTGAGAGCTTTGAAAGGTGGAGGGAGTGGTGGTCACTGGGAATAGGGAGGGTGGGCAAGAGAGGACAGATAACTAATCATGCCATCACCTTCCGCTCTTCTTCCTCCTCCTCTCTACTCCTTCTTCACCTTCTCTCTGTTCCTCTGTAGGGATGATTGACGAGGGCACGGTGGACTGAGGTTGTCCTAGTGCCCAGATTAGAAAGCCCTCAAACAAATGAAGCCTGGAAATGATGCCCTAGGGAGCTGGGAGCAATGGGGGAGACACACAGGAAACACAGCCTAGCCCAAAGAGACATAAAGAGAAGGGATCCAAAACAAGTAAGGAATATGAAAGTAGAGGATAGATATGGTATGTTTCTCTAGGTTTGCAGGTGTTGCTATAGGAGGTGAAACAGGAGCTGGAAAGAAACCCAGAAGATAAGTGTGATATCATTACAAAAAAAAAATGACAGGTGGAAAACTAGAGTGTAGAGACAATTAAATGTGTAAGGTGATTCAGAAGAAGGAATGAAGTTACTTTAATTACAAAACCCAAAGGGAGAAATAAAGGCTCAATCAAGAAGGACAGGGAGTGATGGAAAAAAGGGAAGGTGAAAGGACAGTGACAGAAAAAGGGGACTGTCAACCACATCTCTGTGCAGCTGTTCTTGTCTTTCTAAGAGTGCACCGTAACAGATCGTTTCCCTATGCTCCTCTGCAGATTGATACGGAACATTAATCAAAAACTAAATATTACCTCGCTCTCTTATGGAAAAGCACAAATGGACAACCTGCAGCACCCCCCACCCCCTCCCTATCCATTTCACCTCTTGGAAAAACTGTCATTCTCACCCAATAACTATTTTTTAGGATTTGAATATCAGTTGAAGAAAGATGAAAAAAAAAACATTAAAAAACACGAGGAAGAGGTGATATATGGCCAGATATTAGGGAAAAGTTTGATTTTATAGGTGTCACATGACCCTAGCATGAGTGACCTCCATTTTCCCCAAATGGCGCAGGTCCAGCGTTTTAATGGAGTCTCCTTCAGCCATATATCAGCACAGCTTGTCTCGTAAAATTCTGCTGGGGCCGACCTCACAAACCACCTCCACCTTTATCGTGACACATACAGAGCTTTTCATGAGCAGAAAATAGATATATTAACAGGGAATGGTTTTAATATAGTCAGTGGGTGGAAACAGAAAGGACGAGGAAGGTGCTCGAGATTTCACCTGTTTCTGTTTGTTTTACAATGGATTTGTGTTTCCTTTGTCAACAGTTGTCTCTCCCAACCTTCTTGTTTCATTTCTCTTTTTCGGTCTCAATCTCCGCTTACTCCCTCTCCTCCGTCCTCTCAACTCTTCTGCGTATGTCTGTTGAGTGTCACAGTGTTACAGCCAGCCGACATGACACTTTTTAAAGTTTTGTGAGGAGGCTGACAAAGCACAGATAAGATTAACCTAGCAGGCTGCCATAGCACCTGTCCCTCTAGTCTTTCTTTGCTTTAAAAATAAGGCCACAGAAAATATAAAGTATGATGGTTGTACAAATAACAGAGATATTGAAGCATTTTAACCTTGCTTATTGAGCAGAAATAATGAGGAAAAACACAAATATGCAGATAATCACACAGAACATCAGAGCATTGTATACATTTCTTTTGAGAAAGCTTCTTAAAAAATGTAAGCTATGAATAAGAGGAGCCTTTATCTTTTAAATGATCTTTCTTCAAACATCTCAAGGTTTTTTCAATCATATATATACAATGCTTTCTGTTTAAGAAAAACATTACAGGAATTTCCTTTACTTTTTATCAACTTACATTTGAGGATAAATAAGCCTTAAAAAATTATCTGTGTTCATCATGTATTTTCTGTAGAATCAAAAATATTTAATAGGATGCTTCTGCACTCCTTAATATTAGTCTTCGACTGAAATTACACTTTTCCTATTGAAAATAGACTTAACTAAATACACCAAAATAAAAAATAAAAATTGTGAAATGGAAAATTTGCTGCATATTTAATTCAGTTTTCAATTACGTTTATTTATATAGCGCCACACATGCAATCTCAAGGCACTTTAACCCTTTAAAGCCCGATCCAAGAAAAAAACTAAATAGAAAATTACTTTTTTTTGGTTTGAATTCCTTATTTGCCCTTCTAACGAAATTTGTAAAAAGAAAAAACACAAATACATTTTTGATATGAATAATTTA